TGGGTGGGGAGTCCCTAACAGCCACCATCACAGTCCTACTTAAACCAGGGAAAGACTCACTCCATTGCAGCAGCTATCGACCGATTTCGCTACTAAATGTGGACGCTAAATTGTTCACGAAAACACTAGCGACCAGAATTAAACATCTCCTCCCCGATTTAATACATGAGGACCAGACGGGATTCATCCCAGGTCGAGAAGCTAGGGACAGCACCCTACGACTTTTCTCTATCCAACACCACGCGAGGAAACTGGGGACCCGGTTGCTATTGTTATCAACAGATGTAGAAAAAGCATTTGACCGGGTCAACTGGACATATATGCTGGCGACACTGAGACGGCTAGGCTGTGGCCAGAGACTCCTTACGTGGATATCTGCCATTTATAGCAAACCGCGCGCATCTGTACGGATCAATGGGGCCACGACAGCGGACTTCGCGATCAACAATGGGACCCGACAGGGATGCCCACTATCACCGTTGCTGTTTGCAATGACCCTGGAGCCACTATTAGAGGCAATCCGACAAAATCCGGACATACAGGGATATAACTGGCAGGGAGTACAGCACAAAGTTGCCGCATATGCAGATGACCTCCTCTTCTTTGTCCATAACCCTAGGATCACAATACCGTGCCTCCTCTCTGAGTTTAACAGTTTTGGCCAGATATCGGGATTTAAACTTAACATCTCAAAATGTGAGGTCCTGAATTTAACGATCCCCACAGATGAATACCGGTCTTTAGAACCGGAATTTGGGTTCCACTGGTGCCACGACAAGATGAAATATCTGGGCATCTGGGTGACCACGAACCCGGGGAATATATATCAATATAACTTTACACCCTTATTAAAGAAGGTACTCGCAGACCTGTCCAAGTGTTCTCACCCTAACATAACATGGCACGGGAGGATTGCGGAAATTAAAATGAATATCCTCCCGAGAATCTTATACCTCATGCAAACCATACTCCTCGCAATACCACCAACCTTTTTCTCCACCCTGAAAACGGCGGTGATCAAATTCGTCTGGCGGGGAGGAAGATCCAGGATTAGACACAACATTATCTGCCGACCTAGAATTTGCGGAGGACTAGCGCTTCCAGATTTTAGGAAATACCATCAGGCCACGATCATGCAACGCGTACTAGATTGGCACACAACACAGAAAACTAAACAATGGGTGGTACTCGACAGGGGCCTCATCGGACCAACATTGGAGATGAAAATCTGGGGGGTCCTGAACGATCGCTCTCCCACCCTGCGGAGGAAGGACTGATCCTGCAGACAATACATGGATGGAAAACACTGAGGACTCAAGACCACGTATCCCCTATGCCCAGCCCAATGATACCGATCACGTATAACACAGCCGTTGGGGGGGGACTCCATCCTGCAGCATTGCCCCTCCAGGATCCTGGGGCATACATACCCATACATAAGGCACTCGAGGGCGGGAGAATGTGGGACCTCCCCTCGATGTTAGGCGATAGACCGCGGACTCCTGTCCTCCAATTTAGATATCTACAACTGAAACACTTTTACGATTCATTCCCGCACAAAGATCGCTTGCATAGAGACCTCACGTGGTTTGAGGGCCTCTGCGACCGAAGCACCAACATAGAACATACAATCTCGGCGTTATACCAACATCTTCTAATCGGAGGCACACCTACGGCTACTACGTTCAAAAGGCAGTGGGAAGAACAACTAGGAATAACATTGACAACACAACAATGGGATACGGCGTTGCTCTGGCAGCATAAGAACTCTATGAGCTCATACTACCAGGAGATGAACTATAAGTTGATCTCTTTCTGGTATAGAACACCAGTTCTTCTGCACCGTATCTTCCCTTCAATTCCCCCGATGTGTTGGAGGTGCCAGGAAACACGCGGCACAGTGCGGCACATATGGTGGGAATGCAGGGTTATCATCCCATTTTGGGAAATGATTAGAGAAACGGTGACGCTCATCCTGGGAGACTTACCGGAATGGAATGCAGAATTGGCATTGTTGCACATCTCGACACAACCCATAAGATCATATAAGAAATCGATACTACAACACCTGCTTAATGCTGCCAAGGCAAATGTTCCAGTCCACTGGAAAAAAAGTGAAATCCCGACCAAAAAAGAGTGGATCCGTAGAGTGGAAGAGATCCAAGGAGCAGAAGAAGCACATGCTATTGTAACAGGAAGAGGGACCAAGCACACGGAGATGTGGACGCTGTGGTTCCTATACATTTCTCGCTATCGAGGAGACGGAGACGCACGGGGGCCCGCGTCGGGGGCGCAGGCTGGGTCGGACAGTGCTAGAGGGACCACACCCTAAGTGGCCCGCCCGCCACTGCTCCTCACCTCTTCCTTACCCCTTATCCTTGCACACCGGGACCGAGGGGAGTGGGAGTCGGGGCCGAGTGGACTGATTGTGGGATAGATAGCCAACACAACATTTCACAAGGATTACAGGGAGGCACAACATACATTAATTGAGGGAAACTAATAAATACACGGAGTCCTGGGGACACGGGACACAATGTGGCTTAGATACCTGACGAGTAGACAGGATTATGACACACTTGCGAATAAAACACCGGATAGCCGCCAAACATATCTTTCTCACGCAATAGGGTAACACTCAGGCTAAATAGCACCACGATAAGTACCACACCGGGCCAGACACGAGTACCTGGCAACCACAAATGGGCGAAGGGACTCCCGAACGCTACACGATCTCAGCCATAGGTAACAATCAAGGGAATACCAGTGTTCCGAACAATGAATACCAGTTATAAATGAAACAAAGCTCCCGTCTTTAATTGTTACACTTAGAACTGTACTGTCATACAAGAATTGGATATGCTTATCTCTCACTATGGGGTAAGAGTAACTAGATATACACAGTGGCGTACTAAGGGGGGGTCGGGGGGGCGGTCCGCCCCGGGTGCCACCAGGGTGGGGGGTGCCATGACCAGCCCCGCCGCCCCCCCCCATGCTGCAGCCGCCCGAGCGCTCTGTGAAGAGCCTCAGGCAGCTGCAGCTTTGCCCGGGCGGTGCTTCCATGAGGGCGGACCGCACTGCCCGGGCGCAGCCTGAGGAGAGGCTGACAGGAGGGAGCGCTCCTGTCAGCTCCCTCACTGCAGCATGGTCCGACGGGTACAGAGAGCAGCTGTCTCCTGTACCCGGCCGGACTAACAGGAAGGGAACACTGAGTGTGCACTTCCTGTTAGTCCAGCCGGGTACAGGAAACAAAAGCTCCCTGTACCCGCGGACTATACAGGGCTCGGCCACGCTACAGGGAGATAGGGGGGAGGGGGAGAAAGAAGGGGGAGAGAGAGGGGGGTGAGAAGAGAAATGGGGGGTGAGAAAGAGAAATAAGGGGTGAGAGAGGGGTGAGAAAGAGAAAATAAGTAAAAGAGAGGGTGAGAGAGAAATAAGGGGTGAGAGAGGGTGAGAAAAGAAATAAGGGGGGTGAGAGAGGGGTGTGAGAAAAAGAAATAAGGGGGGTGAGAGAGGGGTGAGAAAAGAAATAAGAGGGGTGAGAAAGAGAGATAAGGGGTAGTGAGAAAGAGAGTCAAGGGGGTGAGAAATAGAAATAAGGGGGTGAGAAAAAGAGAAATAAGGGGGTGAGAGAAAGAGAAATAGGGGGGTGAGAAAGAGAAATAAGGGGGGGTGAGAAAGAGAGATAAGGGGGGGTGAGAGAGAGAGATAAGGGGGGGTGAGAGAGAAATAAGGGGGGGTGGGTGAGAAAGAAAAAGAAGGTGGATGAGAGAGAAAGGAGGGAGGGTGAGAGAAAATAGGAGCGGGGGTGAGAGAGAAATTAGGAGGGGGGTGAGAAAGAGAAATTGGGAGGAGGAGAAGGAAATTGGAGCGGGAGGAGAGATTGACATTCATCACATACATACACACAATGCACCCCTTGCACACAGAAAAACACACAATGCATTACACACACAGACACAAGCAATGCAACCCTTACACACACAGAAACACACAATGCATTCCTTACACACACTCAATGCACCCCTTACAGACGCACACACTGCATACCGTACATACACAGAAAACACACCTTGCAGCCCTTACACATACAAACACAGATTCACACAATGCATTCCTTACACACATATCAGGACATCCCATACACACTCCACCCCCTGTGAACAAACTCATTGGTGGAACATGAAGGTGGACCCTGGGACCCAGACCTTGAGCTGTGTAAAGGACCCCCAAAAAATGGAGCTGTTTCCCGTTCTCCCAGAACATTGATTTTTGTGACCACAGTTACAAACCTCCTCCAGAGAGCCTGTTCTGCACCAGACCAGTGGAGCCAGACTGCAGCTAGAGCCCATCATCATCCCCATCTGGTTGTGGGCAGGCAATCTAGTATATTATTCGGGTGGCACTAAGCTCTAATTTACCTCACGCGAAGAAACACTGAGTAGTCCCCAGAACTACTCAGCTTAATGTAGTGG